GATCACCATTTGTAAACCTCCCTTGCTGCTTCCCAAGAAAGGCAATGCGGATTCCAGCTGGAAAGGTTGTTGGCCTCTGGAGTGGGCTGTCTCCCACACCCACACACCCTACCCCCCGCCAGCCCCAGTGCATTGACATTTATTTATTTATTCAATGTATTTATTTGCTCCCCATCTCATATTGAAATGCCTTTGGATGGCTTACAGTACTAAAACATTAAAATCCTGACAGATAAATATTTCTAAAACAATAAAAATGGAAATCATAGCCAAAATAAAATTAAAAGATGGAGAGCGAAGGAACAGGATACCCAGTGGCAGGGGTGTGTGTCTGTGTGTGAGTAGGACTCTTAATCTATTAACCACCTCCAGTGTGATACCCCCACGTTGGGGCTCCAAGCCATCTGGTAGAGTCAGGTCTTCAGGTTCTTGCAGGTGGTCAGAAGGGTGAGAATTGATCTCACCTCAGGAGTAAGATGTTCCAAAGGGCAGAAGCCACGGCAGAGAAGGCCCAGCTCTCCTGGATGCTTGAATTCCTTGACTAAGGGGGTCCGCAACATGCCTCCTCTGCTAACACAGGTGGGCAGGTCAGTCCCAGGGGTTGAGACGGTTATGCGGACCATAACTGCCTAATGACTATGGGAATTAGTTAATGATTGCAACCAGGACTGCAGGGAATGTCATTGCCACATAATGTGGTTGCACTTTACAATCACATTGCTTAACAATGGAAATTTCAGTCCTAATTGTTGTCGAGAGTCAAGGACTACCTCTATGTGATTTTATAGAATACCTTGTTCTGTAGGGCAGGGGTTCACAATCCCCGCTCATGGACCAGCACTGGGCCGTGGCATGCCAGAAGTTGGGTCGTGCAAGCAAGTGAAGCCCCATCTGTAGGATGCTGACAGTGTGCGAAACCACATCCCCTCCGATCAATGGAAATACCCCTCTCCACGGAACCGGTCCCTGTTGCCCAAAAGGTTGAGGGGGGGGGGCTGCTGCTGCAGGGTTTTACAGTAGAGAAGCACTTGCCTCCAATTGCAGATTACAGAACTCCATTAAAGTCCATCAAATGATCAATTATTTAGGGGATTGCAACTAATTGTCTCATAAGCCATTTTGAAGTGTTTACAGAATCTGAATATACAGTAACTCCAATGTCACACTTGGTGGCAAAATGGGTAAATGCTAGTGGTGCAGTTTTAGAATCTGTCTTGCAGCAATTTTTATTTTTTGGTAAAGATGTAGTTGTGTACAATCACCAAACCTTAGTAAATTTTTAAATAGGAATTCTACCCTCTTAGGGTTCAGCTTTTTAAAAACATTTTTTAGTCCCACCTTTATTATTTTTATAATAATATACATTTATAAATTATTTATAATTTATAAATATTTATATTTGTATAGTATATTTCTATATTTCTATAATTATATTTATAAATGACTATAAATTTATAATATTAGGAATTTATAATAACCATGGAACCAACGTACATACAGAATGACTTGCTGTTCGGAAATATCCCTGCCATCAATGAGGCCCAATATTGGGCTAGAACTTATAACTTTTTTCTATTAAAGATTTTAATCTTTTTAAATTTAAATTAATAATTTCTCCCTTTCATTTTTGACATGAGAGACCAGATTATTTTTTATAAATAAGGCAACTATCATGCCTAATACTCCTTCCTCTTCTTAATTTTGTTACAACAACCCAGTTAGGTGAGTTGGCCTGAGAGAGAATGACTCGCCTTAAGTCACCCAGCTGGCTTTCATGCCTAAAATGGGAATAGAATTCAGTCTGCTGTTTGTAGCCTGATGTCTTAACCACTAGACCAAACTGGCTTCCAATATTAGGACTGTTGTTTTATTGCCTAGAACAGTGATGGCTAGCCTTTTTGTTGTCATGTGCTGAAAGTGCAAACACACGCGTAGCAGTGCAATGTGCACGTGACACCCCGTATTCCCCGCATGCATGCTTGCCCCCCCTGTTTTGGGCCTAGCAGGCCTCCCTGAAGCCTCCTGGGACCAAAAATGGGGTGCGGGAGGGAATGCAGCACTCCTGCGGCCAGTTTTGGGCCTAGCAGGCCTCCCTAAAGCCTCCTGGGACCAAACACGTGCTCCCCACGCACGACCCCCCCCCCAATGTCTCCCGCATGCGGCCCGGCCCCCACGCAGCAGAGACCCAAAAATCAGTTGGCCAGCAGAGGCACGTGTGAATGCACAGTGGAGCTGAGCTGGGGCAACAGCTCGCATATGTGCTATAAGTTTGCCATTGCAGGCCTAGAGAAAGATGGTTGATGTTTGAAGATTTTGTTGTGAACAGCACACTGAAAGAGATACAGTGCTTCCTTAATGACAAGTATAGTATACTTTATTCCAGCACCTAATATTTATTTCTCCTATACAAATGCATGTATGTATAATAAGTATAATCTATAGATTTCCACTTTAACTTAGTTTTTAAGAAATCTATCATTTTTCTGATTTTTAAAAAAAGGTCATTTAAATATCTTCTAGGAAAATCTTACAATATATTTCTCAAATAAAGTATATTTCAAAAAATGATCAGAGCAAGACTGTT